GTGTGTGGGTGTGTGTTGTGGGGTGTGTTTGTGGGGGTGTGTGTGTGTGTGTGTGTGTGTGAGAAAAAAAAATCAGCATCTGTCTAGTGCGTGCGACGCGGAACACCACGCAGCACAAACAGAGCAGATGGGAGGCGCAGCCGTGCACACACTCCAGGGTGTTTTTCGTTGGCAAACATTTTATTACACACACAGACGACATAAACAAACCCGGAAGCAGCTCAGCCAAAACCAACCTCACTTCGATTTGTATTTAATAGAGAACAGCATGAGATAGGAGGGGGTATAAGGAAAGCTAGATCTCAGTTAGTAATGAATCACAGATACAATATTTGGGATATATTGGGAATAAATTGTTGATCTAATTCCATCTGTATTTTACATTGAATACAGATCAGTAAGTCATCATTTTATCCATTTGACCTACACAACGAATGACATCCAAGCCTAGGCGTGGCTGGAAGAGATTTTAGTTCGGTCCGCCTTCGCATCCCGATCCCGAGCGGCACCGCACTCGGAACCGGAACACAGAATGCGCCTATTGTCATCGCGCACGCCGGCCGGAGAAGACAAAGCGCGCCTTGATGGGGGGCCAGCGGCGGCCGTGCCTGGGGCTTCTCGGGGCTCGTGTACCGCAATCCTGCTCTGAGAAAGGTCGCCTTTGAAAGATGCCTCAAACCTGGCATTGTTGTCCCGCTTGTCTCAATGTTTGCTTTTACTCCGTTTCATACGAAACCATTTTTTTTTGCGCTGCATGCGTTTTCTTTTTTTCCGCATTCGTAACTGTCATACCCGAATGATGAGTTTTTCAAGATACGAGACGCCGTTTATCCAATTTTCAGAATGTGTTTATTTATATTGAGTTGCCACTGAAAATGAAAAGAACAAGCAAGAAGAATTTGGGTGGATTGTTCAACGGTTCTTCAAAATGTTGAAAATAAAGTAAAGGTGAATTACACGTGTATTTAACCATGTCGGCCATCTTATGACGAAAACACAATGCAAAAAAAACACAAATGCGCGAGAACGAAACTAGCATCAGTGTGGGTGAAGTTAAAACCCTTTGAAGGGGAACTCAACCCAATATGTCAAAACTACGGCCCGACCGATTAATCGGCTGGCCAATTTAATCAGCTTATATTAGATATTCTAAAAACAGCAAAAATTGGCAAATTTTTACCAATTTTTGACTTTTGATTTTTTTTTATTACACATAAGACAAATGTAAAACATTCAAACTATTTTTTTCTTCCTATTTGTTGTAAAGTTAAGCATCATAAAACAGTTATGTTACGCCTCATAAAATCTGCCAAACAACAAGTTGCCTGCACAGTGTGACATGAGGCAAACCAAAAATAATCCAGAATAAAAAAATAGAAAAAAAGACAGATTCTGTTTCTGTGTGGCCACCCTGTCCTTTCGCTGCTGTGTGAGGCAGCAAGATGGCAAGAAAACAGCTTTTCAGCAATGGGGAAACCATTCGCTGGCAAATGTTTAATCGGTGAGGTCAGTGGTACAAAGTGCACCACGGGGCGCTCTCAAAAGGAGATGATTCATCGTGAGCCTCTTGGAATAATTTAGTTGAACAGAACCAAAGTGGGTCCTCCCCCACTAACTTTTGTCTCGTGCAGGAAGTGTCTCAAAACACCCCCTAAACTCCCACCGGCTGTCTCACACTCAGACAATGCCACCCCCGGGCCGGACCCCACTCCACAGTCTTCTCCAGGGTGCCCGTTTGGTTGTGTTGGCACAAGCCCCATGCTTGAGCCCAGGAAACTAGAATTACGTACTCTTCATTTATGTGATTAGTGTAGGTATCTGAATGCGTTTTACAAAGGTTTTCTGTTTGTATAATTCATTAGAAATCGTGTTTTTTTTAATCAAATTTTAATATGATGACTAAATAATGTTTTTCATTTTCATTTCTTCCATGCTAATATCATTGACATTTATTTGGGCTTTTCATTTTATTTTAAATACATTTGTGAGCTATGGGTTTGTGACACCCTTGGAGCGTCTTTTTTTTGTTGAAGGACTATATAAATAAACGTGAATTTTAAAATAACTGATACTGTATATCTGAATTCACGTCTACTTGTCATTCTATCTGCTGCGTCATGAAACAAAAACGAACGAATGGGTTGTTGTGACAGGGAAAATATCGCCCTCTGTTGAGAAATGTAGGTACTACAACAACTTCCAAACTGACATGTTGACTTTTTCCCCCCCTCAGGCTTTGCAGTCTGACTCTGAAAAAGCTGGTGGTGCTCAAAGAACTTGACAAGGAGCTCATCTCTGTGGTCATCGCTGTCAAAATTCAAGTAGGGAAAAAAAACGTGGCGATATGCTTTGATGTAGCACAATGAGTGAGTTGAAAAATACAAAACAGGAAGTGTGGTATTTATTAGTGGATGTGGTGTGTGTGTGTGTGTGTGTGTGTGTGTGTGTGTGTGTGTGTGTGTGTGTGTGTCTGTCTTCAGGGCTCCAAGCGCATCCTGAGGTCCCATGAGATCGTGCTCCCGCCCGCTGGGTCTGTAGAGACAGAGCTGGCCCTCACCTTTTCACTGCAGGTGCAAAGACATAACAACATCCTGTCCAATCACTCACACCAACTAAATCACACCCTCACTCAACTATTAAAATAACTGGCAGTTAAAAGTGACTTCTTGATGTTTTCCCCTCGATCAGTACCCACACTTCCTGAAGCGCGAGGGCAACAAGCTTCAGATCCTGCTGCAGAGACGCAAGCGCTACAAGAACCGCACCATTCTGGGCTACAAGACGCTGGCTGCGGGCTCCATCGACATGGCCGAGGTACCAGCAACCACTCACTTCCCGCAGAGACAAAGAACTTTTCAACCAGTTTTTATTTTAGTGATCAAATACTGTCGGTCTTTTCCAGTGGTTGTTAGCACCCGTAAGTCAAAGTCTGTCCCCCTTTCCTGCGGTGTTCCTCAAGGGTCAGTCTTATGACCCTTCTGTTTTTGCCATTTACATACGCTCTCTTAGAGCTGTCATTAGGAAATACGATCGTATGTGATACTACTTGTTTGCAGATGTCCTCAAGATTGTATTTTCTTGCAGTGGTGCCTACAAATACCTACTTGCTTATTTAGTTAAGAAGCGCATCCCAACATTTTTTGTCATCCCCCAGGTGATGCAGCACCCAACGGAAGGAGGCCAAGTGCTGCCTCTCTGCAGCCACCAGAAGGACCTCCTGGGGAAGGTGGCCGAGATCTGGATATTCTCACTCTCCAGCCAGCCCATCGACCACGAGGATGGCAGCATGCAGACCGAACACAAGATCAAATGCTCCGGTATCACCTTCAGTGTCCATCTCGACATTGGCTGTCTCCTCATTCACTCCCTCTCCCTAATCATGATATCGGAATTTTTATATAGTGCCCAATGAATAGTGGATCTTCCGTAATCGTAAATAAATAACTCATGGCTTTGTCCTTGCGCTTTCTGTCCTCAGGGTGCAATGTTGTAGACCTACTGGTAGCATATTAGCATTGTATCAATTCTCAAAATTGCTATGGAAATATTTTATAGTAATCTATAAAACTTGGTATTATTTGCTCAATATTTATTACGGAAGGTCCATCAGCGGACGTTTATCCAGGAAAGTTGGTATTATGTGACAGCATGTCTGAGTAGTGATAAATGATTCTTCTTGTGCAGATAACTACTCAGAGGAGGAGTATGAGAGCTTCTCCTCAGAGCAGGAGGCCAGCGATGATGCGGCACAGGCTCAGGTGAGATTGTCTCGATTAAAAGAGGGGGAAAAAAAACATGGACTGTAGTTAAAGCACTTTTCTGGGTATTTTGGTGGTCTTCAGGATCTGGAAGATGATGACTATGATGTGCGTAAGCCAAAGAAGCAGAGAAGGTCCATCGTCAGAACGGCATCCATCACAAGAGTTAGTAAAAAAAAATAAAATAAAAAAATGTAGCTAATCCAAAGAGGGTGAACTGTAAAATAAAGATAAGACTTGAGCTAAAATGAAAGCTAGCTTAAAGCAAGGGTAAAATGACAATTTCAACCCAAGGAAAAACTAGAAATAAAGCTACAGTATACATTAACGCAAACGCTAAAGCTTCACAAACTTAATCCAAAGCATGAAAATGAACTTGGAGTGAAAGCTAAAATGAACCTTAAGGCTGAAAAGAAAGGTAGCGCTAAAGCTACAACTAAGGGTAAACATGAGATGTAAGCTAAAGCTAAGATTAAAGCTAAAACACCCTAAACCAAAGTTAAAACTAAAGCTAATACTAAAGTGAGGGGGACGTCAACAAGAACTCTAACCTAAAGCTAATGCTGCACAGCGTGCAGACTTATTGTTGATTTTGTGTTCATTGTGTGGTCTTTTAGCAGCAAAACTTCAAGCAGAGAGTGGTGGCCCTCCTCAAGAGGTTCAGAGTGTCCGACGAGGTGACCAAAACGTCATGATAACGAAGACCGACTGGTCCTGCAGGAGGTAATACAGTTACATCGGTACATGTACTAAGTTTCTTGACTCGGAGCAGGATCCAGCCGAGGTTCCTCCTGAGGTGGAGGAGGAAGATCTGGACCTGGATAGTGTTGAGTTTGACAACCCCAGCGACAGCGGACCCGAGCTGGATGACGACGACAGCGTCCTCAGCACACCCAAACCCAAACTCAAGTAAGAATGTGTGAGAGTGATATGAACTTTTTTTTCTCTTAAAATATAGAAAATACTAAATGAAAAGAAAACTTGTTTCAAGACTCATTTTTATTATATACATCACACAGCATAGAAAATGAAAGGAGTAAAAAAAGTTTTTTATTGTACTATTTTAGGCCGTATTTTGAGGGTATATCCCTGTCCAGCTCGCAGACAGAAATCGGAAGCATCCACAGCAGCCGCAGCCACCGCGAGCCCCCCAGCCCGGTCAGAGCATCAATTTAGCAATCGTCAATACCATCGATCGTATTCATATTCACACGTTTGTGCACTTTTTTTTTTCAGATGGAGCCTGATAAAAACAAATGTGTTGGTGAGGACAATGTGTCTGACAATGTCTCCTACGTGAGTGCGACACACACACACACACACACACACACACACACACACACACACACACACACACACACACACACACATACACACACACAGAGTGATGCTGAGCAATATTAAAGGAAGCCATTCCAATTTTTCTCAGGAGCATCCAGAGGCCGTGACGCCGACCACGGAGCTGGAGATGGACAACATGGACACGTTCTTGGACAGACTTCCCCCGAGTGGCAAGATGACCAAGACGGAGTCGCTCATCATTTCGTCCAACAGGTCAACCAACTGGTCAGGAATATGTGGATTTTTTTTTTTTTTTTTTTTTATCCGTCCGTCCATACATTCTCTCTCATCCTCTTATTTGACTTTTCCAGGCAGGAGCCCAAGATGGCGGGCAGGCGAGGTCGCAGCACGTCGCTGAAGGAGCGCCAGCCCAGCCGGCCTCTGAACGAGCGGGCCAACAGTTTGGACAACGAGCGGGCGCTGGACACTCGCAGCCACTTGCAAGTAAGTGCACACTAACTGGGTTTTTTTTTTGGCTCAAATCGAGGTAGAGGTGGTACCATTTTGATCATTCGCACCCCCAATGGCTCAAACCAACACTTTCCCTGTGTAGTAATTATATACCGTATTTTCCGCACTATAAGGAGCTTCGGAGTATAAGGCGCACCTTCAACGAATGGCCTATTTTAAAACCGTTTTCATATATAGGGCGCACCGCATTATAAGGCGCGTGGAATAGAAGCTACAATAGTGGCTGCGGTTGCATTATGCATCCACCAGATGGAGCTATGCTAAAGGAATACAATACAATACAGGTTTATATTAAACTTTCACAACTGCTGCAGACGTAACAAAGCGCTTTACAGAACATTTCAAATACTATGTCCAAGAAATCAGAATATTGATCCCTATATAAGGCACATCGGCTTTTGAGAAAATCAAACGCTTTTAGGTGCACCTTATAGTGCGGAAAATGTGGTATATTGTGTAAGTAAATAATGTGGTTATTTTTTATTCATATCCGTTTTTTGAAAATGCTTTATTTTTAGCTTTTTTTAAATTTTATTTGCTTTAGTATTAGTTTTTTGTGTATTTCTTGTGTGCAGGATACATAAAAATATCAGTATTGTGAAGTTAAAAACAACAAAAATATTATTTTAACAATTGCAAAAACTGCAGTGCATCATACCGCATCTAAAGTTTGATGCGTCACAACCTTAAAGTCCACACTATAGGTGGACTCGCTCTCCATCCCTTGTTTCCGTCGTTGCCACTTTCTGAAGTGTGGCCTGAATTCCTGCTGAAAAATATTCCACATGTAACGGATAGATGGATGGATTCTTTTTTTTTTTTTTTTAATAATTAATTTATGTGCAGATTCCAAGGAAGACGGTGTACGACCAGCTCAACCACATCCTGGTGTCTGACAACCAGCTTCCCGACAGCATTATTCTCATCAACACGTCCGACTGGCAGGGCCAGGTGAGCTGACCCTCGGAAACGTCTTTTCTGGAGCTCCCGTTCCAAGCGCACCTTCTGCTCTCCCTTCAGTACCTGTCGGATATGCTCCAGAACCACCACCTGCCCGTGGTGTGCACCTGCAGCACGGCGGACATCCAGGCGGCGTTCAACACCATCGTGTCCCGCATACAGAGATTGTGAGCGCACTGTTGTACTTTTTTTTTTCCTCCTTGCTCCATTTTCGCTTGTTGCTAGGCAGAATTGGTTGAGCTCCATTGCGAGCGTTCCTTTTGCATGATCATTTGCAATCCTGAAAGGGTTAAATTCCAGATACGAATAATATATGTATGTGTGTATGTACATCAACTATCTGTTCAGAATAATTCTGTGTGCATGTCTGCGTGTGCGTGTTGGTGTGCGAGCGCAGCTGCAACTGTAACTCGCAGACGCCGGTCCCCATCAAGGTTGCGGTGGCCGGTGCGCAGCACTACCTCAGCGCCGTGCTCCGCCTCTTTGTGGACCACCTGACGCACAAGACCCCCGACTGGCTCGGATACATGCGCTTCCTCATCATCCCGCTGGGTGCGTACTCCTCTGTGTTTCTCCAATGCGTGTGTGGATGGAGAAGTCCAGTTGTCATTGCGCAGAATGTCGTCAGTGGGTTTCGGCGTTTTTGATGGGGATTTTGATGTAAAGGAGGCATTCAACTCCACTCAACCCTACAGTACTTACATGCATATATTCTTTATCCTCTCTGAAATATTACAGCACCTTACTGGGTTCTTAACAGTAGAAGTGGTCGAAGAAGCAGTTCTGTTTCTCAATTCGTGTCTGCATAACTATTATACCGCCTCCCGGTGGCCAAGGCAGGCACACAAGAAGGAGCAACACAATGGACTGAATTGCTGCATTAAATCCAAAGAGATCGCTCACAGACAAATTCTCAGAAATCAGCAGATGACTAAAGATTTACTTGATTGCTCAATTATACACTGAAATGCGCTTGCAACCCAGAGGCCCCATTATTTGTATACAAACGTTACAATTATTATTAGTACCGGTATATATAAATTTTTTTCTGTATGAAATGCTCTGTGCGGTTACGTCCAGGTCCACACCCCGTGTCCAAGTATCTGGGCACCATGGACTACAGATACAACGCTTTGTTCCAGGACGCCGCCTGGAAGGACCTCTTTCACAAGTCCGAGGCTCCTGTTGTCGGTAAGGAGGGCGGGGGGGCTCTCCATTCTTCAAGATGGCATTGAATTTTGCAACTGACAAAGAAGTGTTTGCCGCGTGTCCCAGAATATACATAATGACACTTGTGTTTATATAAATTATCAGGGAAAATGGAAGGGAAAAAACTGTGTGTGTGTGTGTGTGTGTGTGTGTGTGTGTGTGTGTGTTTGTGTGTTTGTGGGTGTGTGTGTTTGCGTGTGTGTGTGTGTGTGTGTGTTTATATGATGTGTGCAGTCCAGGAGAGTCCAGATGTGGTTTCCAGGGTGACTCAGTACATGCTGGGCGCCACTGGATTGCACCAGCTCCCCATCGCCGAGGCCATGCTCACGTACAAACAAAAGAGGTACAGTATTTTCTAATTCTATCCAGTATCTCGCAAAAGTGAAGATGCCGCCTTCACATTTTTTCAGAAATGTTTCACTCAATCTTTTCATGAGAGAACACTGAAGAAATTTTGCTAGTGTCCAGCTTTTCGAACTGTGGAAATTCACCATCCCCTCCAAACAACTCAAGACTCAGTCTTTCCAGTAAATCATACCGTATTTGCACAAATGTTTGGGGTGTGCTCACTTTTGTGAGATACTGGATACAGCATACAGTATTTATGTGTTTACATGAACAGTGGTGCCTTATGATACGAGTGACCCGACTTGACTAAATATTACTGCCGTACTGAGAAGCCAAGAGAGCAGATGAACATCCAATACAGTACATGTCTCTGATTTATATTGCCCCCAGGTGAACAATGAGCACAAATCAGAATGAGCAAAAAAAAAAAAGATTTTTTTGGTCTTTATTGTATGGTATATGTTAAGTATACATTAAAATATTCCAGTTCTTTTTATTCAAAACATGTTACATCAATTCTTTAAAAAAAAGTTTGTGGCAGTTGCAACGGCTAAATGGCATTTCCATTCATTTCAATGGAAAAAGATGATTTGACATACAAGTGTTTTTGAATGACAAGCGTGGTCAAGGTACAAGTGAAACTCATATCTCAAGGCATCATGGTATTTTCTCATTTACTAAATATGAAAATTAATTACGTGTTGTCCAAAGTCTGAATTGAGCTAACTAATGCTTCAAATGCACAAACTATACAAACTGCGAACTGACTTGGTTTTTTTGGGGGGGGGCATTTTCACAACATTAGGTAGACCTGCACAAGCTATTGAAAACCAAATACAGGATCAAATTTCGCTCATAATCATGGTTCTCAAAAAATTTTGGTCCAGAACGGGCTGAAGTAGGGATGGACAAATTTAATCTGGATTTTAGCTTCTCGTGATCATAAACAACACCGTGTGTGTCCGCAACTTCCTGCATTGTGAAAGCACCCTGAATGTGTGTGACGCACATTATTCTGCCTTCTCTAAGTGTACTCGAAGCTATCAAGTGACACCCCAGTTGGAGTTTACAGTCAAAATCAACATCCAACAAATACAATTACCAGGGATGTGTTCCTCGAGCCGGTCCTTGGCCTCGAGGACCGGCTC